TGCAGAGACAGGTTCCACACTGGACCTGGGAACGGGCTCGCTGTCCCCTTCATCGACACGGCAATGACCTCCCTGTCCCCACGGCCTCTCCTCTCTGTCCCTGTCACCATCACCACGGCCTCTCCTCTCTGTCTCTGTCACCCTGAGCTGTCTGGCAGCACACAATCCTATTCAGGTTTGGAGGAAGTGCTGCTTAGGCATTTCTAACAGGTAAACTCTATGTGTATCTCACCCTTGTTGAGCCACCCAAGCCCCATCAACCTTTTGATGGAACTCTTGTAATCATTACATCCTGGAATTGGTTCCCAGCAGCCCTTTTAGTCCTGGCTTTCATCCTTAGGGGCCTGACTCCAAACATGCTTGTCCCATGATTGTGTGGGTGGGAAGAGAATGAGCCATGTCACTCAATTCTATGGATCAAAAATGGCCTGTGATCTACCACTCACAGTTGTTGCAGGGGCCTCATGCAGCGGGGATCTCCCTTCTCTGCATCCCTCATGGAAAGAGATGAACTAACCGGATAAATGGTAGCTGCCAGGGATTAAGAAATAATAGAAATAAAGAAAGAAGATGCAGAGATAGATTTTAAGCTGGGAGCTTGGTGAGACTCCTTCCTTCCTCTCTGAATGAGAGGCTGCAACAACGAGGACGTCAAACCCTCCCAGCCCATGTATTTTATACCCGAACACCAGGAAGTTATCACCGATTTATTTGCATTCTTAAGTAGGTCCTAGCATGCCTGGATTTACATATCTAGGACCACCTCTGCCGACACCTGGGCTGATATAAAGGCCAAGCTGATTACACTTCCCGCCATCTTGTGTATCGCAGGCATAAATAAGAGCCTGCATTTCTACTGAACTATAATAGATGTGAAGGACCTTTAACTTTCTGCTGCAATAGATCCAGCCTTTCCAGAACTAGATCCAGCTGTAAAAATGGTTAATGCCTGAGGGATAACATTTCTTTTAATGTGGCAGCTAATACCATTCCCTGTGTTAGAAATAAAGCAAGCCCCTAAGCCAGGGTCCTGGTAGAACACAAAACATCAAACATTTTGACTTCCATGCAGAAGGGTGTGCACACATGGTCTCTCAAAACTTTGATAGAAGTGCGTGCATACCTACCTTCCTTGCCCTTGGTCCTGGGCAACCTGCAGCAATGCACAGGTGCAGACTGCTAGCATGGCAAGGCATCTTCACCATCTTTATTTCTGGACTATTTCTATTCTGTTCTTGTGGACCACTGCCTATTCTGTGGCTGGAACAGTCCTATCAGGTCCTCTCTGGGATCCGTTGTTGCAGGAATTCATATCGTCTAGGAATTTTCTGGAAATATAAATATATTCTCCACCAAAGGTTCATAAAGAAATCTTTTTATAAAACACTTGGGATCCTTCTGATTTTTGTTCAAATGATTTTCCCTTGACTCACTTTGACATCATAGGAGTTTTCATAGGTGCCTTGTTACCAACATTATATATGAAAATTAATTTTCAAAGTAAAACTTTTTCTAGATGTAAATTACTTACAGAATATTTTTTCTTACATGGTATTTTTCCACTATCACTCCCTCCCCCCTTTTTTTATTTAATTACTAGGAGGCTTTTGGAAAATTCTTATAATGCAGTTTTGATAACTTTACATTTTATTTTTTTGCACAAAAATATGAGTTCTTTAGGCTCATGGGATGTTAATCAAATTTACCATGAAATGAACTACCAATAGAAATTTTGGTTAACACTTTAGCTACAGCTTTTGTATAATGAAATTTTCTTGAATATTCACATTTCATTTACCAGTTTAAATTAATCTGAAAATTTGACTATTTTACTGTCAAATTTAATCTTCTAGTAACAATCTTAGGCCAAAACCGGTTTAGCTCAGTGGATAGAGCATCGGTCTGTGGACTGGAGGGTCCCAGGTTCGATTCCGGTCATGAGCATGTACATTCCCGCACGGAAAGAGAGATGAACAACCGGTTCTAAGTGGAGGTGGCCAGGGATTGGGAAATAATAGAAATATAGAGAGAAGATGCAGAGATAGACTTTAAGCAGGGAGCTGGGTGGCAGAGATAGACTTTAAGCAGGGAGCTGGGTGGGACGCCATCCTTCCTCTCTGATGGAGAGGCTGCAAGGATGAGAACTAGGACCACGACCCCTCCCAGCGCATTTATTTTATACCCAACACCAGGAAGTATCGCTGACTTATTTGCATTCTTAAGTAGGCCCTAGCATGCTTGGATTTACATATCTAGTCCCGCCTCTGCTGACACCTGGACTTGCTGAAGGCCAAGCTGATTACACTTCCCGCCATCTTGTGGAAATGTGTATCCTAGACCCGGCTGGCAACAATGAAAAGAAATGCGCATGTGCCCTCCCTGGAGGCCCTCTATGGTTCTTATAGTGGGGCAGTGGTTGACATTGACCTATGAACCAGAAGGTCACGATTCAATTCCCAATCAAGGGCACATGCCCAGGTTACCTACTCATTGCCCATTGGGGGCGTGCAAGAGGCAGCCAATCAATGATTCTTTCTCATCATGGATGTTTCTATCTCTCTCTCTTTCTCCCTTCCTCTCAGAAACCATTAAAAATATATTAAAATTATTATTAAGGAGCTATTAGCCACGGCTAAGAGTCCTTATTGATTTCATTGGAAGCGAGGACAGGAGTTCACTGTCACAGAGTCCCACCAACATCATGACGCTTGCTTGTTGGCGCCAGAGTTGTATCTGCGAATGAGTGCCTGCAAGGTCTGACATTACGTGGCACCTCCGCCTTGTGACACGGAACAGGATGTGTGTGATGGGAGAGACCATGGGGACACGTGTCTCCAGAGGCTGCAGAGACGGCACAAGCCCACGGGAACCTCATGACCCAGAGGTGACGTCTGAGGCGCCTCCATCCCAGGCACATGGGACCGGTTAGAGCCTGAGCAATGGAGGGGCCCTGGGACCCAAGGGGCACACATCGCCAGCGCATCCTGCTGAGGGCAGAGAGCAGAGACCCCGATGGCCTTGGGGACATGATCCCCGTCCCCTGCCTCCTCCTGTACCCTGACTCCAGTGCCCGTGTGCAGGTCACAGAGTCACAATGAGCCTGGCTTCCCTGTGTCCATTGGACAGACAGACAGGTGACTGGGAACTGACAGCTGGTGGTGACTGAGCGCGATCCCAGTCAATCCAGAGCCCACGCAGGAGCGAGCAGCCCTAGGAGAGGCCGCACCCTCCTGGCCGGGCGGTCAGGCCGCCGGGTGTTGGCCGTGGGGAGGAAGTAAGCCACTTCTGTGTGACTGTCACTCACGGTTTTCCGTTCCGGGGCATAACCGGACGGCTGGCACGGACGGCCAGGCACCGTGCCGAGCCTTTGTCCTGGAGGAACCCCCGGGTCCTCACACGTCCGTGGGGCCTCCCCTGGTGTTACAGACGGGGACACTGAGGCAGGAGGGCCAGCGCCTGCTGGAGGCCGCCGTCTTAGATGTCTCAGAGGCTGGTTCGTTACCTGCTCCTGAGGACCAGCTTGTTGGCCTGCTGGGTGCTGCCCCCGGTCTGAAGGGAGGTGTTCACAAGTGGAGCCTCTGTGTTTGCTGGTCTGTGTTCACAGCAGCTTGTAGTTCCCAGAAAACAGAGGGAAAGTGGGAGGGCCTGGCCGGGCAGCTCAGTGGCTGAGCGTCACTCTGTGCAGAAGGGTTGCAGGCAGATTCCTGCTCAGTCCCCACCCCAGATGCCTCCAGAGCGTCCGTCCCGCAGGCACAGAGGGCCGCTGGTGCTCCCCACGGCCCTGGTGGGATTGAAGACTGAGAGAGAGTAGAGAGAGCCCCCACGCCCCTCACCCCCACCTTCCGAGCATCAGGCCTGGTGCTGCGGGGACCCCAGGGGCGCGGGTGCAGGGTGGGAGCGAGGTGAGAGGTTGGGCAGCTCACACGGACCTTGCCACCCACCCCCCTCGTCCTGCCGAGTGGCCGGGCTCTTGTGCTTCTCCTCCCGCGACGAGTCCCAGGGGGCTTTCTGCCAGGGGAGGAGGGAGCAGGGAGGAACGAGGTCGCCCTCAGCAGAGCCCTGGACTGAGCAGAAACCCAGAGGCGCGCAGCTGACTGAGACCTTCAGGCCACGCACTCCCTTCCGTCCGGGGACCCCACTCCCAGAACCAGGCCTCCGGGGACCCCACTCCGGGGACCCCACTCCCTGTCTGTGCTGCGTGGCCTGACATTCGCGGCCCTGTCCCTGCCCCACGGCCTCTCTCCGGGTCCTGCGGCCTCCCTGCCCCATGGAGCAGCAGCCACGGCCGGCACAGGTGGAGGACCAGCCTGCGGGCGCGTCTGCTGGGGGCCCGATGCCCACAGGGGCCACCCCAACACCGACACGGTAGCATCCACCAGCACACGTGGGTGCCGATGGGTCAGAAATCATGGGGACTCTGACCCGGAGCTCAAGGCAGAAGGGGGCGGAGGGAGGGCCGTCTTCCTCTGGGCACTGCTTTCTCTGGGGAAGCGGACAGCACGGACATGGCTCCCTGCAGTGCCTGCAGCAGCCCTGGCGCAGCGGGCACCATGGACCCCAAAGGGGCGATCTGCCACGTGGATCGCCACTGCACTCGGGGTCCCTCCTCTCCTGCAGGGACACGTGGCAACCCCCTCTCTGAGCCAGGCTTGGAGTGAGAAAATGAGAATGGGGCCCCATCTGCACGGAGGGAGCTGCCTCCCAGGGGCTCCCTCCACCGAGGGGTGCGCACTGGCCACCCTCCCACCTCGGGCGCTGCCCCAGGGAGCTGTGCAGGTGCCAGCGAGGCCTGGATCCGACCATGTCCCCGGGCTGTGGCGTGACGGATGGCATCAGCGCTCCACGTGGAAGGTTGGGCTGGAAGCCAGGCCTGGCACCTGCCGGTCCCCTGAGGGCGGCACCCGGGAGGCTCACTGGGTACAAATGGCCCCGAGCTCCCAGGCCGCTCACTCAGCTCCTCTCGTTCCTGCTGACTCCGCTGCGCTCTGGCCTCAGGCACCATGAAGCTGACCCTGCCTCTGCTGCTGGTCACCCTGGCCCTTTGCTGCCCCGACGGTGAGGGTCCCTTCCACGCAGACACGGCGGCCGGAGGACCTTCTCCGGTCCCGGGGACGTGGATGGGGAGGGGGACGGGTCAGAAGGAAACCTTTCCCATTCCCGGGGCACCAGCCCCCCAAGCCCAGGGCTGGGGGTGTCACATCCCGGGTCTGGAACTTCCACAGAAAGCACCGCAGGCAAGTGCGGGTCCCGGGGGCAGCCACGCCAGCCGGGGCTGGTGCAGAGGCAGCAGGACGGAGCCTGCTCCTGTGGTCAGGGCTCCGCCTGGCAGCGCTGGGACCCGGGCACCAGGCCGTGTCCCCAGTCCTCTCCTCCTGGGTCAGGGTGCTGGCAGGAGGGGGGATGGCAGGAAGGAGGTGGTGCAGCCGGCCTGGTCTCACCGACGCCTCCTCTGAGGTCTCTGGGGCCGGTGAGCAGAGGCGGCTGGGCTCCTGGGTTCAGACCCGGAATGTTCCAGCAGGAGGGGCTCCGTTTGGAGGAGCAGAGCCGCCTGAGGCTCGGAGGGCCGATGTCCACGTGGCTCTGAGACCCAGAGGCGCTCTGGGGCCGGCAGGCCTGGGCCGCCAGGGGCCCCCAGGGGCCCCGTCAGGACGAGCAGAGCCCAGAGCGGAGGTGGAGGGGCCGTGGGCAGCAGTTGGGGCGTCTTTCTGCCCTCGGGCTGAGCCAAGTCCTCTGGGCGCTCTTCCACAGACTGTGCTGACCAGTCCTCTCTCCCCGAGGCCTCTAACCCCCACCTCCCTGCAGTGCGGCCTCTGACCCCTCCCTTCACCTCCCTGCAGGCGGCTACCTAGGTGGGAGGGGCCTGGTGGGGAGCAGTCCCAGCTGCTGGCAGCTGTACAGGCCTGAGGGTGGGGACAGAGAATGCAGACCTGGGTCTCAGCACAACCCACAGGGTGGAAAATCAGCCCAGTCCCTGCGACCCTCTGGGAGGTCTGTCCATCAGGGTGGAGCCAAGGAGCCAGTCTTGGTCTGGGCATCAGCGTCGGAGGTGACCTCACAGACGTCCTTGGTTAAGCGGGAGGCCTCCCGTCCCATGACGTGGTCCTGGGGGCAGACGGAGCCCCGGAGCCTCCTCCCTCCCTGGTTGCTCTCCTGCCTCCTCTCGGCCTGTACTGTCTCCCTCTGGGCCCGCTGCTGGGGCCTGCCTCTGCCTTCCCTGGGATGGCTGGCGGCTGACAGCTCCCTGCCCAGGCGCCAGGCCAGTCCGGAAGGGGCTGTGTGAGAGGAAGAGTGGAGTCTGAGGCCCAGACACAGTGACTGGCACAGCCGGGATGTGGGGAAGCCCTGGGTGCGGTGAGAGTGACCAGGGCGGCCCTGGGTTCCATCCCGGCCCCTTTGCATGCTCTGCGCCTGCGCCATGGGGGGGAGGCGCACTTCCCTGGAGGAGCCCTTCCCGCCCTGCGTCCTGTCTCGCTCTGGGGCCACAGAGCATGGCAAAGTGACTTCCTACATCAGCTGTGTTTCTCTCTCTTCGGCTCCAGCTAACGCAGGGCCAGTCTGTCCAGCCCTTACCTCTGTGATGACCAACTTCCTGTTGGGGCCTAGAGGGTCCCTCAAACGGGAGATGAATAGGGTCGACGCACCTGCAGAAGCCATGCAGGGCACACTGAATGTGAAGACATGCGTGGACAAACTCAGCCTATTGGACCGATTTTCGGTGGCCAAGTTTGTGGTAACTTCCTTCTCCTTTCTGCACGAGGCTGCTGCTCAGCTCAGGGGCAGGCGGGAGTTGGGAGGAGGGCACTGCCCTGGGGGGCACAGGGGGAGCTGACCACCACGCTGTCTCTCTGAGGAAACCAGACATTGGGGGGAGGGGGGTTAGTTCCTTCACCCCCAGTGAGGCCGGGCGCTAAACATGTGTCCCCTGTGTGGACACGCCAGGGTGCCACCAGGTGCAGGTCCGCGCCTGAGCTGCAGAACTCCGCAGCAGATCCTCCCTCCGTCCCCGCACCCCCCTCCGCCCCGCCACTGCCCCATCACACCCACACATCCACTTCTGAGTGAAAAGTCCCGTCATGGGTCCTGGGACTCAGAGAAAGCACATCCTGGGGGCTCCATGCCGTGTCCCCCTCCCGGCTCCCTCAGACACAGAGGCCGCTCCTGGGCCCTAGCTCTGCGGGGCCGTGGCCGGGGCTCCGGGGGACGTGTCTGCGGCCACAGCACCGGGACCATTGGACGCCCCACCGGCTCCCGGGCCGCCCGCTGCCCGGGGCCGTCGCTGCTGGCAATGTCTCGGGTTTTGGTTGTGAACACACTCTGCCCGCGGCCTCTCCAGGGCAGCCTGACTGACAGCCTGTCTCTCTCTCGGTCTATTACAGAAGATTGTCGAAATCAAGTGTAAGAAGCAGTCTGCGTAAACCTTACCTATGAGCGCCCTGTCTCTCAGTGATGGGCTGACCTTCCCTGGCAAATGCAGAGGTTTCAACGTCTTGCTTCAATAAATCACTTTCCCTGCACGATGTCTCTGCCTGTCCTGTTTTATCCGGTCTCTGGCCGTGGGGGAGGAGGGGGCATCATGAGGGGCGGTGGGAGGCGACAACAGTGCATCACGCTGACCCGATGGACAGTGACCGTGGCGCCTGACCACAGGGATCAAGAGGGACCGTGGGCTCCGGGCCCGGCCCGTGTCCCTGCACAGCCTCCCAGCCCGGCCTGCATGAGCCACGCCGGCTCCGCACCTCCATCCCCGAGGCGCCCACGCAGCCAGCCGGACGCCTGAGAGCTCTGGCCTCATGTCCAGCGGCTGCTGTGGCTCAGGGACCGTTCTCCAGGGGCAGGACAGGAGGCTTCGTTTGTCTCTCTGCCCAGACCCAGGTGCAGAGGCCCTGCTGGCTGCCCGAGGCCAGGGCCAGCTCTTCCTGGCGGCTTCCCGCTGGTAGTCGATGACAGGCCTGGTCTGCTCCAGGGGCTGCAGGCCCCGTGGAGCTGCCACTGCGCCTCCTTCCTGTGCACCCTCTGCCTCCCCCTCCTCCATGTGTGGGACAGCAGAGCGCGGATCCAGGAAACCCAGGGTGGTCGCCCACACTCAGCATGTGCCCCTTGATCGCAGCTGCAAAGTCCCCAAGGAAAGCAGGGTCACCCAGGGCTCAGGGGGGGAACTTGGGGCGATGAAACCTGAGAGTCACCCTCAGCTTCTCCACGGCCCTCCCTCGCACAGCCTGTCCTTTCCATCTGCACAGCCATCGTCTCCAGGCTTGTGCCCAGGGCTCCTCCCCGGGCCCCTGGGCGGAGCTGCCCTCCCTGCCTTGCGCCTGCGCACCCACACGCAGTGATCTCCACAGAAAGGGGGTCAGCCCACCTTCTGCCCCTGAGAGCCTGGGCCTGGGACCCCATGTTTCCAGGACGAGGACTGGCCATGAGTCCTCCACAGGGAGTGGCAGCGTCCTGCCTGGAACACACACACCCAGCTGCCTCCTTCCTGAAGCCCAGGGTGAGCTCAGCCTCCAGTCCACGCGTGGCGGGCCCAGGATTCTTGAGCTCTTGCCACAGCCTGAGAGACACAGGCTGGAGTCCCACCTGGAGGGCTGAGGCCCCAGCTGGTGCTGCACACAGGGCCTGGCAGGTATCGTCCCTGCCCCCTCCCCCTCTCTCTGCCCGGCCCAGATCTGTGCTCTGTTGTATTGACTCCATGCCACTCACACAGGCGGTGTGTTGTTCACGCCCTGCGCCTTGTCATGTCGGGGTGGCTCTGCCTCCACATTGCCCCCTTCACAGACTGGAAAGCTCCTCTGTGAGGTCCATTCCACATCTCCCCTCGTGCAGCCTGTCTCACTCTCACCCCTATAATAAGCCTTTATGCACAGACACACAATTCACCCTCAGCCACACTCACAGAGATAGACATTTTCACACAAATAGAGTCCTTCCTGTGGTATACACATAGCAAGACCCATGCATACACACATGCACACACACGGCCCTGCGCACACACACAGCCATGCACACAGGCACAAATGAACATAGACATGCACACATAGAGACACATGCACACACAGGAATAGTGAGCCATCTGTCCTCTCTGTGCCTTTCTGTGACGTACTATTCACATTTCAGAGTGGTGGTGAGAACACAGTGAAGATAGTGATGACACCAAAGGACAAATGCTGTGAAGTCCAAACTGCCTCAGAGTTTGCCAGCAACTAGCAGCCCCTGTGCAGAGGGCGGACGAGGTCTGGGAAGTCACAGTCCTGCCTCCCATTACCAGGAAGGTGAGAGTCCATTGTCGTCCATTGTCGGAGGCTAAAGCCAACAGCAGGTAACTTCAAAAAGAGGCAGTGGACGGCCAGTGGACCTGGATGGCCAGCAGGGCTCACTATCAGCTCCAGCTCTGCTCCTGCCGTGATGGCCATGGCTCCAGGCGAGTTGCGACTGATAACCTTTACATTGTTTCCCCCGAACTTTACCTTTGATTTGCTGTAGGCATTGCTAAAGGGCGAAGGTGTTTTCACAGTGAATAAAAAGCGAGAAGACCAGTCTCAGGTGCCTTGTCACCAAAGAGGTTTCCACCTGACCTCCATGCATTCCACATTGGTATTTCTTGTATAGCATTCTCATTTGTGTGTCAGCCCCTCCTGTGATCCAGAAACCGAACAGGACACTGTCACCCCACTGGACATGGGGAAGACACAAGTCCTCCCCTGCCCCCTGCAGCATCGGGTCCTCTGAGAACTTGCCAGGAAGAATCAAAAGCAGGGATGCCTCCACCTCACAAAGTATTAAGATGCGGGGATCTCAGTGGGGAGAGCCCACATGGTCCCCAGGCCTCACCTCCCCACCTACAGGGTGGCCCCCAGTGACTGGGAGGCAGGGCCTGCTGGCCTGAGGGGACAACAGGACTATGCCCCGAGGGTCAGCAGCTCCCAGCAGCAGGTGCCCTAGAACCCTGCCCTTGGTCACCCCCCTCCCTGAACCTCCCAGCCCTGCCAGTCTGGCAGCTGCAGGTTCAGCCTCACTCCCAGGCTCAGCCACTGAGGGACCCAAGCCTGCACAGGCCTTTCCTCTGAGCTGCTGGCCACAGGGCAGGGGGCTCCAGGCTGCACAGGCAGGGCTGGGGGAAGGGAGGTGACTGTTTGATGGGGAGCCCCTGTTCGGGCCGAATCTGGATGGATAGAGGTGACCTAAGGACGGTGCATGCAGCAATGCCAGTGAATGCTACATGCAAAGGAGGTGAACACGGTGAATGCTATGTTGTGTATGTTCCACCACACACACAGGAAAGCCCCACACAGCTGAGGGCTCTGAGAGGTGGCGCAAGGACACCCGAAAGGGGTAGGAGGGCCTGCATCCCACCCTGATACACCCTCCAGGCTGTCCACACTCCCGTCAGGCCATGTCCGCTGTCCACTCGCTTCCTAGAGTAGGAGCTGAGAGTCACGTTCAGAAAGCAGTCTCCTCAGGCCTGTGGGTGCATCAGAACCTGCCCTCCTGTCCCAGCCCACACCTTGCCTTCCTCCTCTCCTTCCCTTCTGCTTTTCTCGCCCAGAGGCCACCAGCCTTTCTGAGGTGCCAGCGGCATCCAAACGGAGAGAGACAGACGGCGGCAAGCTGTTCCTGGACCCGTGTTCTGTGAGACTGCTCCAACCCTCGGGGCCGGGAAGAGCTCTCCAGGGTCTTCAGGAAGCTCAGTGACCGAGCTCCGCTGCTGTCTTCAAGGGGAATAAACATTCAAAGTCAAATAAGCTGCTCTGGACAAAGAAAAATACGATGGCTAGAAAATTATAAAGCATCTGGAAGACAGAGCAGAATAGTGTAATAAGGCCTAGGAGACCAGAAATGTGAGGGGAAACAACAGCATGGTAAGGCTGCCATTTGAAAGAATAAAAATGTTAGTATCAGGGTGGTCAGCCAAGGGGACCCCTCCTACTCTTGCTTCTAGGCCTGACCTGTGGGCCCATCATAATTAATGGGTTGGTAGCTTTTGTTAGAGAGCATGTTCAGACTGTTAAGCTGTTAGCCCTAACCACCCAATACAGCCGAATCATACTGGCTGAAGACACAGCTGTTTAGCTAACTGCTGATTTCTTGCTTTTGTAAACTTGCTTGCTTGCTTGCAAAGAAAGGAGGCCAAGGATTTGACCTCTGCTAAGGAACTAAAAGCAGTGGGGAATGAGGAATGGAAAATAACTGACCTTGCCTGGAGGGTAGAAAGTTGAGTCTGGGTTAGTCAAGGCTGAAGGCCAAATCATCAGTCTGGGTTAGTCAAGGCTAAGATAGCAGAACAAACCAAGAAGGGAGATTAGGCCATCTGGCCGATGCATGCAACCACAAGGTTAAGCAATATAGAAACTAATCAGCTTCAGCCCCGTGGACCACCACCCCCCTTGTTTGGAATGTGCTCGTTTGAAGAGTGCTTAAAAGGAGACTGCTTTGTAACAGCTGCTGCTGCTCCTGGCCCGCGCCATTGCCGCGGCGGCAGCCCAGATTCGAATCTGCAATAAAGTTTGTCATCTGACTCCGCAATTGGCTAGTTGGAGTCATTTCCCGGGTAGGGGTCTCCGCCTCTTGGGTGGTCTCGTCTCCATTCAACACCATTCATGAGGTCCAACCAACAGGATCGCAAAATGAGAGCGGTCCAGGTGGAAAGATGGTCACCAAAGAAACACATCAAGCAAATCTCTCCACAGTGAGGAATATGAAATGGGCTCGGTCAGTGCAGCTCAGTGGTTGAGCATCGACCTAGGAACCAGGAGTCACGGTTCCATTCCCCGTAGGGCACTTGGGTTGTGGGCTCGATACACAGTAGGGGGCATGTAGCAGGCAGCTGATCAAAGATTCTCTCTCATCATGGATGGTTTTATCTCTCTCTCACTCTCCCTTACTTTCTGACATCATAAAAATACATTTAAGAAGAGATTAGGAGATGGAATAGACACTCATTCCCCACATCAGATACCTCTGTGCGCCTCTTTGGAACAAGGCGCTAAGGAAGGAGCTCCTTTCAGGAGGAGACACACGTCTCAGGCGAGGATGGGAACAAAACAGAATCCACACAAGACTGGGAGCCACTGAGGGACACTGACACTTCAGAGGTTCTGACCTGTCAGTGACCAGGACCAGCATCCTACATGCAGCTCACTACTATGTTAGCAGAAAGAAATAAAAATATTCCTGAATGCAGATTTTTAAAAGCTTGATTTGCAGTGTTCTGTCCCTCAGAGGCAGGGAGAAGTCAGCTCTACAAAAAGGAGTAGGTGAAAAAATACCCACAACACAAGAGGCATGGAACCCGTAAACATGGGATAGAACACAGGAGCTCACAGATGAATCTGTACTCATCACAAGTATTTCACAGCAGGAGACACAGTGCTCATGTTCTCAGAGAAGCTGTCTTTCAATATTTTATTTATAGAACAATGCT